ACACCTATTGTTAACAGGTTCACTCCACCCCCCGTTAACAATAGGTGTTAATTAGGTGTCAACAATAGCCATGTGATGTGAGTGAGTATCACACACCTGGAGGCAGTGCTTAAAAGCCTGAATTTTGCCTGAAACTCTCAGACTGAAGAAGTCTCTTGGAGGAGAGACGAAACGTTTCATTAAAGAAGAACCCGTCCAGAAGACCTATACAATTTTTTTCCTTTTGATTTTTTACCTGGATTACTGAGATGCATCAGGACAATAAAATATATGGTTTCATTTGACAAAATATCAAAAATTGTTACAGTTGAATTGTAGCCATTTTCTAACCAAATAAAACTACAGTAAGTGAATTATTAATTTTGTTGAAAAAAAAGAAAGAAAAGAACTGCAAATTTGTGACAAAAGTAGACAAATTAAGCAGGCGGATGCCAGATTTCTTTTAATTGTGAAAATACTCTTTTTGCGTTGTTGTTTTTCAGGTCTTCTTCCAGAGTTTGACGGTGTCGACAAGTCCAACCCAAACTGCGTGATCATCGGAGACGCAGCTGAAAATTTCTCCTACCAGAACTTGAACGAGGCTTTTAGAGTCCTTATAGGCCTGGAGAAGCCAGTGCTGTTCGCTCTTGGACAAGGGTATTATTTGATTGCCAAATAACCTAAAAAAAAACATATTTACCAAGATTTTAACTTTATTTTTCTGTTTTAGGAGGTATTATAAGGAGACAGATGGGCTGAAATTAGACGTCGGTGTTTACATGAAGGCTCTTGAGGTAGATGCATTATTTGCACTGATATTTGGTGGAGAAGAAAAAACTTCTGCTCTGTATAAACTTATTTTTTCTTTTTTTTTTTTTCTTTAGTATGCTTGTGATTTAAAGGCTGAAGTAATCGGCAAGCCATCCCCGACTTTCTTCCAGAGTGTTCTGAATGACATGGGGCTTAAACCAGATGAGGTATGTGATAATGAAAGATGCTGTGGTTTAGTCAGTATTTGGCACAGAGCAGTGATGATGATTCATTTCTTGATTTATTTTTTTTCCAAGTTAAAATGCATCAGTTTGCAGATAGATTATGTGGATTTATGTCTGTTTTTTGGTCACTTAGTCTAAAGTAAAGCAGGGATGTTACCAATAAACCTGTCGTATAGAAAACATCAACAAACTGATGTTTTTTTCCCATTCTTGTCTCATGTTTGCTGCATTGATGGTACCTTTTTAGATGCGTACGCTAGCAATGCCTTAGACACAAATGCACCCCTATACCGTCAGAGAGGCAGGATTTTGAACTTTGTTCTGAGAACAGTATGTCTTTGATTTCCATTAATTAAAAAGAAAATCAATTTGTCTCTGACCGCAGAACCATTTTCCACTTTGCCTCAGTTTATTTCAAATAAGCTTTGGTCCAGAAAAAATGGCAGCATTTCTGATCGTTGTTCACATTTGCAGACGAAATGAGTGACAATGAGTCATTTTTTAGTACCGAGTCATCATTATTGTCAAGTTCTCCATCTCCAGAGCTTCAAAATGATATGTAATTTGTTGAAATTTGGTGGTTTATCACCTCGTTGGCAAGCTAATTATATTTATATGAATGCCGTTTTGAAGATGTGATTTTCATCGGTCAAGAATGATGTCATCAGGACTCCCAGCCTTTTATTTAAAAAGGAGAAAGCCAGACATTATATGAAGGGATTTCCCAGCATGATGGGCATGCAGAAAAAAAGGTAAACCATAAAGTAGAGCTGGGCGATATGATCAAAATTTTATATCACAGTATTTTCAACATTTTCACCAGTTTCACGGTATTTGACGGTATTTTTCTTTTCATCACAGCTCGGCTGATAATAAAATGTACAAACCCTGCTTATTGAGGCTTTTTCTTTTACTGTACCTCTGTCTGTGTCACTGTTTCCCTCCTCTGTGTCTGTTCTTCTCTGACTGGTGGTTGGAGACAGTAGTCATGTATTTTGGTCCAGTCGTGAAGGAGGAGGGTTAAGAAAAGATTATGATCGGGTTTATTGTTTTATGTTATTTATTAAAGCTTATCAGCACGACTCACCTTGCACACCAGTCAATTCCAACTCCACTACGAACTACTTCCTGCAGGCTTTTCACAATAGAAGCACGTTAAGTCTCCATCAGCATAACGTCTCCATATTAACTAACCGTGTTAAATCTAACTGTGCACGTCACTGAAGAGGTGTTTACTACATTCAGCGACGGCAAAAACAGGATGTTTTTTTAAACGTCAGTCAATATAAGCAGCGGAATCGCCACCCGCGGCTGCAACTAGCTGCTCCAAACATTAGCATGCTAACGCACATAGCGGTGCAGCAAGGAAAAATGTCCCCCGGGAAACAACAGTTCACTGGCGGGCGCGACGAAACGTTCCGCTATTTAAACCGGAATGTCCGGTATTCAAAAAACTCATATCAAAACAAAAATAAAAACCRGTATTCGGTACAAAACGGTATACCGCCCAGCACTACTACAAAGGAAAGTTGTAAGGGTTATAAGACAAATGATACAAATCTGTTAGAGCACTTTGGTTGAAAGAAGGTTAAACTAAAGCATTTGCTGGACACAAACGTAAAGTTTAGCTCAGCCTCTATGATCTGTGGCTTCATTCAGCAGATATCTGAACATGTGTGTGGCATCTGTCCCCGGTCAGTGGACCCCAGTGTTTTTAAACCTGGCACTAAAAAACGTCTAACTTATCTCAGTCTAAGCTTCATTCCAATCAGTGGCTATCATTTGATGTAACGATATCCGATCTTCTCCTGACATTTTTTTCTCTGTGGGTTGAAATTCCTGGCTGTTTCACTCCCGTCAAACCTCGCCTCGCCCGTACTGAGCCACCATCATTTTCTTCATTCCGTTTTTTTTTTTTTAAAGAAGTCGTGAAATTCTACTGTATCTCACTGGAATGGACATTTCATTCACAATATGAGAATTTATATGACACACACACCCTGTTGATACTGAACTCCAATCTGATTTACTGCCTACTTTTTTAGAAAAAAAATAAAGGTTGTTTTATCACCAAACAAATGTAATGTACATATTAAAAGAATCATAAGTGCATGTGCAAAAGCAGAACCTGCACAGACAGATAATTACTGGGTTTGACTTGATATGAATGTAATTCAACATCGCAGCTGCAGCACATGTCGGCGTTAGCAGGTCGGTGCGGCGTTGTGCAACCAGTGGAGGAGGCATGCTAAATGTTGCACTCCCATTTAATGTTCTCCGTGTTCCTGTTCCTCATTTTCAGGCTCTGATGATCGGGGATGATCTGGTAAATGATGTAGGAGGAGCCCAGTTTTGTGGGATGAAAGGTGTTCAAGTCAGAACTGGTAAATACAGGTCAGTGAAGTCCTGGTTTCACCCACACACGCCTCTCAAAGTCATTCTAACGCCCCACTTTCTACCTCCTTGTAACTTCATTTGAATTTATCTGTACTTCTAAAGTGTATAAATCATTTATTGTTAAAAAAAAATAATAGTAACCAGCTTTTGGAAGATTTGAGTTCCTTTAAAGTTCAGGAAAAAAAAAAGAAAACTCACTCAAGTTGAGGTTTTTTGTTTCCTCTGTTGGAAAGCTTTAAAGCCACTAGAGGGCGCACTTACAGCGCATTTTCCGTGGCAAAGTTTCCTCCACGAAAGCTTCCCTGTGAACCGACCGCCCCCGTTCTTAAATCTCCCAGATTTGTTTGTTTGAGACCAGGCCAAAAATAGCATTTCCTTTTCCACACGTTGACCACAAGGTCGGAGACACCGAACAATTTATGGCCCGAAATCTGGAGATTAGTGGGATACCCTTTGGTGGCGTTGCAAAAAAATATGGTTATTTGTGAAGATATATGAGGTACTTATGGCTTGAAGAAAACAAAAAAAGGAACCAGGATTAAATGAGATGTTATGGAGTGACACGTCACACAGACCAGATGAAGTGTGCAAATGTGTTTATTTTAGGTTTTATTTGTACACCGTATTCATGTGAATAAAACAAGAATCAATTTAGACCTTTTTTATTATTATTTTGCTGCACTTAAGATGCACAGATCATTGTGTAACCATTATGGGACAGTATAATTAAGCTCATATAAATATACTTAAAATATTCATATTGGAAACAACAATGCATATAGGTAAAGGCAAAAGCTTGTTTATGTGTCTGTTAACAAAATATCTCATGAACCACTTGCTCAATTTTAATGAAACCTTCAGTAATTACTCTTTGAACATCCAGCTACAAGTATTTTAAATTTGGAGTCAAGACAATTCAAAATGGCTGCTACAGCTAATCCATGCTAGGTAGCACAAACAAGGCTATAACCCAGTCAATTTGGCATTAATTGAGCTACAATTTCAGCTGTTAGTAGTTGAGAGTAACTTGCAACATATAATCCAAGCATAACAACTCCTGATAGTTTGTGTTACTTTTACGGTTTGAACAAAGCAGCTGCAACTTCATCTTTTCTCAACATGACAAGATCTTAGTGTGCAACCCGGGGGTAAAGGCGGGTGGGCAATATGCGTTCCTTCAAGGAATGTTTAGCCTTTAATTACAAACTGTTACTGCTTTTATTGTTAGTGCTTTACTGGCTGTAAATGATCCTGATGTTTACTTTTCACTATTACGTTGCAACAAACTAGTAGTTGTACTGGTATGCTCAGGATAGAATTCTCCAATAAGATTATACTTATGGCCCAAAAAACTTGTTTTTATGAGTTGTAGTTGATACTGAACTACAGTAGTTTAGACCCATTTAGGCTAAAATAAATGATTCAGTGCGGATAACGTATTGTATAAAGAAAAGTATGTTGGACCGCAGCAGCAACAGTCAGCTTAATCAAATCTGGGCCAAAAGGGAGTTGTTGCAGGATTGAGCTGAGTGTGCACCAACACCTCACCTCATGTGTCCTGAAAGACGGCAACTGTTTGTTTTGTTTCGACGAGGTGTGAACCAGAAGGGCTCGGCGTTGCGTTTCATGAACCGCTTAAAGAAAATAAAAAAAAATTTTAAAAATGTTGTGCAGGTTTTGGTCACGTGGCCCGAACAGCGCAGAGTAATCTGCGTGAGCATCAGTCGTTTCGAATGCTGGCGTCAGAAATTCCAGCTGAACCGTTCCTCTTGTTTGTTGCTTGTTTCTTTTCTTCTGCGTGAACAGGAAGATATGGGCGTGTGTTTACTCTCTCTGCTGTGTTTTTCTTTTGTGTGCATTTTGGCCAACACGCGTGCGTGCATGTGTGGGTAACCTCTTTGTGTCTGTGCCAGCGTGTGCGTTTGAACTTGTGGCACAAGAGCAGGAGAAGGGACTATTCTCATGCTAATTCTCTGAGGTGTTAGCTCAAGCCCACGTGGTTTCTGTCCCACAGTTGGGCTTCGGTGTGCTCCCTCTTTAAATAATGTCTGACACACTTGGCTAAACACAGGACACCGCCGATTAAACAATATCACTGCTCAGCTATAGTTTCTTTCTTTCTTTCTTTTGAGCTGAAAGCAGCTGGATTACAGTCGAGGAGCTAAAAGGAACATCTGTGCAATCAGTTTTGGGTTGTGTGACATGTTTTACAGCTGTGGTGGTTTAGCGTCAGAAAAGTATGCTGCATTTATCAAACCAAAACTATGTTTGAGCACAACATTCAAGGTGTTTGAGCTACATTAAAAGAAAAAAAATGGTGGATGAAGAAAACGTTTTTGCTTTGAATTTATTTCTTTGTCGACCACTCTGTAGACCTGATTTATCATATTTATGTGAGAGAGTGGGAATAAAAGAGACTAGCTGACAAAAACGAATTGATAATGGAGTTTGTTTCTGCTGTTGCATCTTATTTTGAAAGGATTTTAAAGTGGAAACTATGGTCACGGGTAAGCTCATCTTTACTGCCCAAATATGGGCATTTTCCTCCATGTTATCTATTAAACATGTGAAAATTAAGGAATACAAGTTATTCAAAGTCTATTTGACAAATTTTTCCAACCGCCACAAACAACAGAATAAAAACTGGAAAAACTTAGAGAATCCTCAGCGTTTTTCTGCTATCATAGTTTATTTTGAAAGGATTATTAACTGGAAGTTATGGTCAGGAGTGAGCTCAGCTCTACTGCTAAAATATATCAATAATAATAATGTTTAATGTTTAGGAAATTAGCAGAAAAGTTGCCAAAAAAGATAACAAGTTTCAGATTAAAGCTGAATGGAGCAGAAAAGTAGATAAAAGGAGCAGAAAGACATAAAAATGAGGACAAACAAGTTGAAAAAGAAGAACAAAACCAAATTTGTATTATTATCTCTAAAAGTTTTGATTCTGATTGAACTGAGGAGCTAACAGCTAATCTGAGCAAGGCCAAGACTAAATTAGGTTTGCTGTTCCCTTGAAACATATCCAGTCTCAAAAATGTTGTAGTTCACCTTTTTCTAAACATTTACAATACAATCAGTTTCAAATTCACAAATAATCGCAGATTTTTTTGTAAATTGATTTAAAATAGTATTCACTTGAATCACTATAAAGCAGGGTTGTCAAGCTCAGTAACACAAGTGGGCCAAAATCCAAAACTTGATCTTAGCCATGGGCCAATTTCTGTCCATATTTATTAAAGAAATATTTTGTAACTAGTTATTTGTATAGAAATACTAATTTTATTTTGCAAATTGTGTTTTATGTAGGACTTAGAACATGCTCAACCTGCTAAAGAAAAATTTCGTAAATTTTCGTAGTGTTATTTTCTTACAGCTTATTTTCTGTCCACCACTTTTTGATTTATTATATCTTAGTGATACATTTTATCACAATCCAGCAAATCAGGTTTAAAAAAACCCTCACTAAAAATCCAATTATTTGACTTGAAAAGAACTTATAAAAAGTTAAATAGCGTTGCTCTTTTCACACCAAGATCAAAGATTACTGAAAATTTCAAACTTAATTTTCTTGCCTTGGAAGTCGGCCAACTGTCGGGAAGAATGCACAAAATATGAAATAATATTTCACATTTAAAGTATTATCTTTGGGGCTGAATAAAATGGTAATGAGGACCAGATTTGGCCCACGGGCCTTGAGTTTGATATGTGCTGGAAAGTATTTTAGATTTGAGTTTTAAGATGGCAGCAATCAACTTTGGCCTTGGCCCTACCTTAGATTAACTTTGGCCCGTCTGCCCAGTCAGCCAGTTCGGATGTTATCAATCCATTTAATGGACGTTATTAGCGGTTATCAGTCCCATAGAATGGCTTCAGACTGTCCCAGCTGTGCCGTCTAGTAGGTTATCAGTCCCATAGAATGGCTTCAGACTGTCCTGACTGTGCCGTCTAGTAGGTTATCAGTCCCATAGAAGGGCTTCAGACTGTCCCAACTGTGCCGTCTAGTAGGTTATCAGTCACATATAAGGGCTTCAGACTGTCCCAACTGTGCCGTCTAATAGGTTATCATTCCCATAGAATGACTTCAGACTGTCCCGACAGTGCCCCCATTGGGTTACCAGTGCCATATATGTTGGAATGCAACAATCTGCTACCGCCGGAGTCCGGTCTACTTTATCGTAGCCCATGTCATTTTCTCTAAAATTAACCTTAGTGGTTTTATGCCTCATATTAACCAGACTGCATAAAAAAACTTAGTGGTTTTATGCCTCATACTAACCAGCTGACAGTCTGAAGCCATTCTATGGGGCGGAGAACCCACTAGGCGGCACAGTCGGGACAGTCTGAAGCCATTCTATGCGACTGATAACAGCTAATAACGTCCATTTAATGAATGATAACATCCGAAGCGGGTGGCCCAATTCATTTTTTCTCAAATGAGTTTGTTCAACAGCAGGAAAGACATTAGTTGTTTATAATCTTTTCCATGAAAACTGCGTCAAAAGATCTGAACTATCCCCTTACTCACAGATCCTGAGTGTCAGCGACGGTGTTTGACAAAAAGAAAGAAGGTAACTGTGACATTAATAGTGTTTCAGTGGGACCCTAAATTTGAGGAGAGACGTGAGATTAAACATTGTTAAGCCAAACAGCCCAAGTGAACTCTGGCCTGCTTTGAGAAGCTATAAACCCTCAGTCAGATCTGTGAAAACACAGCTGTTTCCAAGTCAACCAGATGCTGCGCAGGCCTCCAGTTCCCATCAGGCTTGGAAAAAGACAGCTTCAGATTCTGCCAGACGCAGTGACAAGACAGGAAGGGAAAGATCCAATAAATCAGCTCTTATATGCTCCTATTAAAACACATTAGAGCCGATCTTATCTGTCAGATTAAAAAAACTTTCCTTGTCTGCTCCATTTCAGTGAAATAATTAAAGGGTAGATTTTACTGACGAGCATGTTTTCTGCCTTTCATCTGGTTGCTTTGGTTAGAGGGGAGG